CACTCCCAAGGCTGGTCACGCTAAACTTCCAGGTTGCAGCCCAGGAGGAAGGACCATCCTGGGACACGGCTGTGTCTGTCTCTCCAGAAGTGGAATATCGCAGACCCTCACAGAGGACTCTGCAGGCCTGGCCGAGGCAGGGCCACACGTGAGGGCTCCGCTCCCCAGGACCAATGAGGTCGGAGGGACCTGTGGCGCGCATGGCGGGGCTGTCTCTGGGCCTCAGGAGCTTCCTACCCCAGCCAACCTCTCCCATATCACACTCCGACGCTCACCCGGGAGCCTCTGGGGGACACAGCAAGTCCTCTCCTGCCCGTTGGAACTCACTACCCCACCTCCCTGGCCTACGGTGACATTCAGGCAGACCTCCCTGCCCCACTCCGGGTCTCAGGGAACTCTGTGCTTCCATGAACCCGCACACCACACCTGCAGATGTCATCCTGAGTGCCTACCCCATTAGTCCCTGTCTGTCCCCACCCTGAACACAGGGCCTGACCAGGGGGCTTTGGGAGGCAGACAGGCCGCGTCTCCCATGCAACGAACCATGTTCCGCCTGTCACCCACAACCAGGAGGACCTCTAGACATTGTGAGACACTTTGGTCACAGCCACCCCAGGGCCGACCTCAGGCCCATGGTCACAGCAACCCCAGGAAACGCCCACCTTGGCACAACGGGGAGCAGGGACGCGAGCAGTAGCCCTGACTCCCCCCATTCTTCAGCTGCAAAACTGAGGCTGGAGGGAAGATGCCAGCTCCAGACGGGGCTGGGACCCGCCCAGGACATCAGCCAACTTGCAGGCCCCAGAAAGTAGCGCACCTCCCTTATAAGGCAGCCTCAGCTGCTGTCACTGGAGCCGGGGTGGGGGGGGGCCTGGGGGGGTGGAGCCAGCCACCACCCGCAGGCTGCGTTTAGGTTCTGCAGCCCAGCCCTGCCCAGAGAAAGAGAGGACTACGAGGACCCGGAGGGCCACAAGGAGGGCGGCAGGCTCAGGGGCAGGCTGGACCTCGGACCACGGGCCCTGCATGCAGCACAGAGCTCAGGCCTCACAAGCTTAGAGGTGGGCACTCAGACCGCCTGTGGCTCCCGCTCCCTCTCCTGCTTTCAGCCAGCTAAGACTACCGCTTTCCTCCCTTCAAACGCCGACCCCGCCAAGAACCCCATTTCCAGCCAACATCCTGCCCAGAGAGCCCATGGAGTGTTCTGCACATCCACTGCACTCCTAACCCTGCAGGGATGAGTGAGAGAAAGCATCTTCTCCGTCCCTGGGAGCCCATGGGGGTCCACGGGTCCCTGCCTCCACCTGCAAGAGCCACCCAGAGTTGTCCCCAACTCATCACCTGCAGGCCATTCCAACACTCTTTTATTGAGCACCTACTATGCTGTCTCCTGGGATTCTCTATGAAAGTACAGACAACAGTCCCTCAAGAAACCTGGGCCCTAGGGAGTGAGGGGGAAGAACTGTGACGAATACATAGCCAAATGTGGATATCACTGGCTTACAGGAAGTTCCAGCTCCTTTCCACTCTCTGTATTTCTGCATTTCAGGAAAAGGGTAGGGTATCACTTTTGCCAGTTGAAAAGGCTATATTTACATCAAAAAGAAGTCCAGCAGAGGGAAGGAGGCTCAGAGCAAATTTATGTCCCAAGCTGAACACCAGGTCCTTACAGGAGAAAGACGCAGAAGAGCCTAGGAGTCAGAGGAAGTGAGGCCACCTCCAGCCTCGAGAAAAATGTGTCGGAGTTTGAGGGATGCAATGGTGTAAAGAGGATGAGAGTCAGGGCTGAGGGGCCCCCGAGACTGGGGAGCAGTGCGTAGGTGAGGGAGCTGGTGAAGGCTCGGGTGGGGATGGCTTTGGGGCTCAGGCTGGGACCCAGGAGACCCCATCCTAGAGATGGAAACAGAGGGGCTGAGAGCCTGACCCAAGGGCATGGAGAACCCCGGAATGGTCGAGGAAGGGCTCGGAGGTGGGTATTCAAGGAGACCGGATCTCGAGGGCACTAGCAGTAGATTCACCCACGATGGCTCCATAAACTTCAGCGCCCTTGGGAAGGGATGCAAACAGAGACGAAGGCAGCGCTCACTGGGTTGTGTCCCTGGGCACCGCATCTCATGCCCAGCCCCTTCCTCGCTGTCTGTCTGTCTCCCCCTCCTGCCCTGACTGCCTTAGGTCAGCCACCTTGCCCCACACACAGCCCAGAGCCCGCTGGTCCTGCACCCAAAGCATGAGCTGAAATAAACTTCCCTCCCTAAATTCTCAAGTTTGGTCACAGCAACACAAAGCTGACTTGTCGGCCCTCCCCACCCTGCCCACACGACGCAGCTGTATCCCAGGGCAGGGCCAAGGTGGCCAAGGAGAGCATTCAGAGAGGGGCCCCCAGCCCAGCCTCCATGGAGGGCAGAGGTAAGAGCTGGGCCTGCAGGAAAGACAGGCAGGAAGCTAGGCAGAGGGGAAGTAGGACCCAGGCCCAGAAGATGGGACAGGCTGTGACCAAAGGAGAGGAAGAGGGAAAAGGAAGGGACCTTGGAGGACGCCCAGAGAGCTCAGACCAGGACCCGGAGGAGAGGAGCACCTTGGCTCACTCCACACTGTCCACAGGAGCTGGACCCCACAGGCTGGGTCCCTCTCGGGCACAGCAGTTTAGGTCCCCAGTGGGGTGATGCAGTCTGCTCTCAGCACTCTGACCTTCCACCCACAGAGGCGTTCCACCAGCACGGGCTCGGAGAGCTTCCCTCCCGCCCAGGCCTGGCTGCAACCCAAGCTCGAGGCAGGCTCCCATGACATCCTCTCACTGCCCCTCACCGTCCCACCCGTAGCTAAGCTCTGTCCTCTGCGAAACAGGGGCCAAGCAGTGTCCACTGGAGGAAGACCCGCATCCTCTCACGTGTCCCCTGGCTGTGCCACTCTGAGCCGATGCCCAGGCTGTGCCTCAGAGCCTGCACCATCTCCCGCTGCTGCAGCCAGCTCCAGCTGTCATAGAGATCTGGGGCCAATGTTGTCCCAACCACATCCTGTTTGACTCAGCAGAGTGCGAACACCTCAGCCCGGGAGGGGTGTATCCGGTGGCGCATCAGACAAAGGCCCCGGACACAGAAGACCATGAGGGACAGGAAGTGGCCCTTGCCTCTCTGCACATACTGCCCGCGCCTTTGTCCCGACACCATGACACCTGCACCCACAACCGAGTACGGCCTGATGGGTAGGGAGCTCTAGAGGGTCAAGTTTGGAGAGATGGGAGAAACAGAGACACATTTCCAATGCTGGGAAGAGGCGTTAAAGGCCCATGAGGCCCTGGTTGCTCACAGTGCAGTCCGATGCCTGGTGCCGTGGGAAATGCAGAGTTCTCAGCCCCAGGGCTGCCAAGTCAAGCACGCATGCTTAAATGGCACAGGTGATTTTTGTGCTCAGTAGCGCATTAGAAGCCCTGGGCTCCACGCCCCGCTGAACCCAAACACCAGGCTTCCTTCCAGTATCTACTGACCACCGGAAAATCCTTGTTCCCAAAGGAAAACCAAAAGAACCGAAAGCCAGGACTTAAGGATCTGTGTGCACACCCAAGCTAGAGCAGCAGCTTCACAGCAGCCAGAAGCAACCCAGGTGTCCATCAGGGGATGAAGGGTAGGAAAATGTGCCCCCATACATACAACAGAGTGCCCCAGCCTTAGGAAGGAAGGAAGTCCTGACACATCCTACAAGGCGGGTGAGAACAGAGGGCATCATGGGAAGGGAAAGAGCCAGACACGAAAGGGCACATGCTGTACGATGTCACTTCTGTGAGGCCCCTGGAGCCGGCAAACTTGGAGAGACAGAACGGGAAGCAGGTCTGTCTGTTGGTGCCCAGGGGACAGAGGAACAGGGAGAAAGTACTAAGCGGGGACAGAGTTTCTGCCTGGGATGTGAAAAGTTCTGGGGACAGATGGTGGGGATGACGTCACAACACTGCAAATACACCTGCCACCATGGACTTCACACTTCTAAACAGCTAAGATGGTCAATTTTATGTTACGTGTATTCGCTACATTAGAAATAGTAATAACAAGGTAAATAAAAAACCAAACTGTTCGGGTTGTCTAAGCCAAAGAACACTTACTGAACATTTATGGAATTCTGACTCTAAACCCAGAAATGAACTTGACTTTGAAGGGGCTGAGAACTCTTGACATGTCCCATGGGACTCAAGGCAGGGCGGCACACCTCTGAGCAGGGCTAGTTACCTCGGCCCTTTGTCCCCACGGTGTGGCACCATGTCCCTTGCAAGCTCTCCACACCACATAACTCCGAGTTGGGTGTGCTACAAGGGTACTGCTTGGTCCCTCTCCTGCCTCCCCCGAAACAGAGCTGTGAGCAAGTGTCACCGTCCCCTGGTCCGGGGAGCCCTCGGCCATGCAATCCTAGGGCAGAGGCTCGAGCTCTGCAAGGTATCCGTGTCCTTGGCCACGACCACCCCCCACTGTGGAGGAAGGGGAGGAGGATGAGGGCCGGGCACCATCAACACAAGAACACTGTCTGGTGCAAACTGGAGGGGAACATGAGGCCTCTCCTCCCAGGCAGCCCAACTCCTCTTTGCAGGCCCTGCCTCTGTTAGGCCACCCGCTAGCCCAGCAGTCACCAGAACGGAGCCCTTCTGCAGGGTTCAAGCCCATTGCGACCCAGGCCCCTGGAGGATCCCACAGCAGTTCCTGTTTGAAGCACCACTCTCAAGCCTTCTGGCCCTCACAGTCCCAGGACCACACCATAGGGGCCAGCATGGCCCGTGCTAACCAACACTGGAGGCCCTGGCAACCCAGAGATTCTTGACAAAGCCTCACTGGTGTCCCACTGGCTGCGTTTCTGTGTGGGCCCCAAGGACAGGGAGCCAGTGACACTTCTCTGAGCCCTGGGACATCACTCTACATACTCAGGCCTTTCTCCCCCACGGCCACTCAGCTTCTTCCAGGACCCCACAGCAAAGCCCCAGCCCCAACCCTGCAGCCTCGGGGTCCCCATGCTCTGTCACTCACCCTCCTGGTTCCTGGGCAGGGCCTCAGCTGAGGTTGGCTTGGCTTCCAGCCTGCTGTGCAGCTGGGACATTGGGGCAGGCTCGGAATTCTCCAGGGTCTGGGACGGGAGGGGACAGACAGGCACCTCAGCTGGCTTGGGCACCTGGATCTCAACCCTCTTGGGGGCTGCGTCAGTGGCAGGGGCGATGGGCGCCTCGGGGCCCTTGGAGGCGGGCGTCTCCATCCTGCGGTGCGCTGACTCCTGGGGCTTGACGAGGGTGATCTCCGTCCTCCGAGGTGTTGGCTCTGGTGTCTTGTGGCCCAACCCCTCCGCCCTCTTGAGCCCAAACCGTGCTGGCCCGGAGGCCCCCGAGGCCTCCACCTGCTTAGAGGAGATGTCGATGGACAGCTCTGTGCGCCTTGACACCGGCTCGGCTGCCTTGGGCCCTGAGAACTCAACCCTCCGCAGGGAGGGCTTGGGGGAGCGCTGGCTTAGGGAGTCCACATGGCGGGCGGTGGGCTCTGAGTTCTTCACACCCAGCTCCTGGAATTTCTGAGTGGAGCTGGCCACGGTGCGGAGCAGCGGAGTCTGGACCCTCCGGGTCGGGGTAGAGTTGGGCTGCTCGACTTCCTCAACCTCGAAAGATCTCTTCAAGGCTGAAAGACAGAGCAGGACGCAGTGAGAGGTAAGCGTGGGACACAGAGTGTGGTTGGTGCCGAAGAACACGCAGTGGCGAGGTGTTGAGCTGACCGAGGTGGGTCACATTTATTCCCCCAACAACCTGTGACACAGAGAATATTATTTCCTTGGTATAAATGGAAAAGCAGAGGCAGAGGGCACCTGAGCGATGTGCCCGGCAGACTACTGGTCAGCCTGACACCAATGCCAAGGCTGCCCAGCTTGTCCACACCAGCTGAGCTTGGCCCTGCCCACATGCTGGCCATGCAGGACGCATCATCTTGTGGCCCAGTGCTCCCGCCAGCTCATCCTGCTGCCACCTCCATCCAGGTCTGCACCCTCTGAACATCGGGAAAGTGCCCAGGAAGTCGCCATCCTTGTGTCCCCACAGCCACAAATGAGAACCAGCTGCTGGGCCGCACAGAGCACAGCCACGTGGTAGGAACATTCTGCAGCTCCTTCCGCACAGCAGCCCAATGCTCCTGCCTCAACCCAGAGCCCAGGATTACCTGGGTCTGCACGGTTTCCTCCCCTGCCCCCAGGGAAAAGGGCTGACAGCTGCCAGTCCCCAGCAACAGCTGGATGGGGCCATGTTTGGCAGCTCTTCCTTCCTGCCTTGTTTCCTCCAAAAGCAAACACAGCTTTCGCCTCTGCTATGTCCAGTGCTTCCTTTACTTTTTTTTTTTTTTTTTTTT